GTGTGTGTGTGTGTGTGTGTGTGTGTGTTGTAGTCTCACAGGTGGTGCTTGAACATCATTCTCTCTGCTCTTCTTCCCTCTCTCTCTCTCTTTCTCAGTGTGTGTGTACGGGCTAATCCAGTTAGCAGCTGCTCGGGGAAACTTCAGCCTCGCTCCTCAGAAGCTCGTTAGTCAAGCTTTAATTGTTGCTCCCTTGCTTTGCATATTACCATGACGCTAATTTATGCCTGTTGTCGCGGTTACCGTCGCCACGGCGGTGGATGTCTCAGTGGAAGCAGCAAGTGGGAGCTAAGGCGTGTGCACAAGTCCGTGGAAGATGTTTATGTGATAGTCTGCGTGCGACGGATGTGTGTGTGTGTGTGGATGTCACAAGCGTGTTTGCAGCTGTGTGGAGCTAGCAGCACTGGGGCGGGGCTTTGGGATTATCTGATTCATGATTGGATAAGAATAGATTGACAGGTGTTGGCCTCAGAGGAGGGCTGCTGGTGTCATCTCGCCATTAATGGAGGAATCTCTGTCTTTAAAAATAATTATCCAGTTAAGGGGAAGGGTTGCACTACAATTCCTATTTCTTAGGTCCACCTAGATAAAACTAATCTTCTATTATACAACAGACCTGCAATAAATCCTCCTTTGTGAATAGTGTTTAGTTGTCATTAAATCTGCTTTAGAGGATGTTGATTTATTTTAATGGTCATTTTGAAGGCTAGAAATGTTGTGCTGTTGAAATGTAGTGGTTTATAGTGAGAGAAGTTCCTAATCTTTTGTTAGCCTTAATTCATATAAATGGGACTGACATTGAAATAAAACAACTTCACTATAAATTGAACATTATAATTAAATTATCCTCATCAAGGAGGAGTCATTGCAGCCTGGTTGTGTTGGTCTACTATTGTTATGAATATCATAACACACCAGTGAGAAAATAAGCATGTTTTGAACAGGTGTGTGTGTGTGTGTGTGTGTGTGTGTGTGTGTGTGTGTGTGTGTGTGTGTGTAAAAAAGCATATCTGTGTTCTTGTGCAGGTACTGTAGGACTGTCATGGTGTCGCACTTACTGCAGTGCACAAAGTAGCCGACACTGGTGCTAATAGCCATATGAGTCACGACTCCAGCGCCCCCCCCCCAACCACACACACAAATTTACACTTTGTTAAAACCTTCCCTGCTCTCTACCTTCCCCAACCCTCTCTCTCCAGAGCTAACTCTCTCTCATCATCATTCTCCTCTCTCTTTTTCATCCCCTTTTCCATCCTCCTGTCTCAGAGCTCTGACCTCAACAAGGTCTCAGGAGGGGAACACTGTCACACACACAATAAACCAGAACAATTTTACCTTTCTCATAATCGATTGTCTCTAAAGCAGTGTTTTGCACCATTGCTTTGCTCA